CAACTCATCAGTCCCTGACCACCTTTCCTAACCTAAATATTGCGTCTGTCTCTTCAAAAACCTCCATCGGCATACTCCGTCGATGTACCCCGAACTACACATGACCTGATTCCTCTAAAACCAGGGATAGGTAGGCAGCTCAGTAACCAGAGCTCGGTCAAAACCTTTCCAAGTCATCTCTCTCGGTCAAAATTGGCCAACATATCATTACCCGACAACTCTTTCATCCTTTTCGGGTAAAGAGGGGCAGCTGTTGATACCCAATTTTTCCCTATGTATTTTGCACTCAAAATACTTTCAAAATAGCATGTGTATGCATATATAAGCATGCCCAAGAGTTTTGGTATTTTTTCCTAATTTTTTAAGATTTTTAAAATCAATTATTGTCTATTTTGGTAGTACAAAATCCAATAATTGTTCCCAAAATTATCACTTTGGTGAACAATTTATTTCTATTCTCGTATTTACACCAAAATATAATTAAGGTGATTTTTGCATATTTTTATAAATTTATTTGGTATTTTCAAAGCTAAATTGCATATAATTGCAATTATAGCCTATTTTACGATTAACAGCATTTTACAATTAAAATCATTTCCAGTATTTTTTTATTAATATTTATATATTATTAATTAGTTCAGTGCTTTTAATTTGTTTTTAAAATAATTTTAACTATTTTTATAAAATAAAAGGGGGAAAATTGGCTATTTAACACATAGCCATTTCTATTTCAATTACAGCCTCAATTGAACCCCCCAATTCCACCCTAATTAAACGACCTAACTTCAAATTTTATCCAAAACCCCACAACCCGTTTTCAAACCCGCCCAGCTTCTCTTTTAATCCTAGCTGTTGATCATTTTGATTAAGGGCCATGATCCGTTCTTTTCTTTTTAATTCCCATACCCCCCTTAACCCTAATTCACTCTATCAGATGTGCCGCCTTTGAACTCTCTTCACCTCCCAAATTCTCTCAAGGCTCCCCGGAACCCTAGCCTCCCCTACCTTGTTCCACCATCTTTTCACCGGCGTCTATGGCTTCTCAGGCCATGGACAGCCTATACCCACCCCCTATGGCTCCTACATGCCTGTTGTTCGAAGGATCGAGGCCAGACCTCGAGGGTCTTCACACAGGCCTTCACTGATTCGATGATTCCGGCCATCTCCGGCCTTGCTCCGGTGGCTTTTGGTCTTCTGAGCCTGTTTATGACATTATCCGACTTAGATCGGGTATTTTCGAAGCCTTTCTCATCTCTAGGGTTCATCTAGAACCCTAATATCGAGGTTCTCTCCGATTATTTTAGATTTGTTACATGTTTGCACTGTTGCTTAAGCTTCTTAAACCTTTTTCCGATTTTCTTTCAAAAAATCACTTCTTTTCAATTAGGGTTTCTGAAAAGTCCCTAAAATGTTTCTGATTCTTCTTCTTCTCTTTTCTTGGTGTGAATCGATCCCTGCTATGTTCCTACTGGCTCTTTTGTGACTCATATGCCTTTCGTGTGTTCTTATATTTGCCTTGTTATGAAATTTATTTTATTATGCTCCGTTCTATCTCATATTGGTTTTTCACCATGCTCTCTCATGTCTATCTTATGTGTTCCTCTACTGTATGCTTCTCCTGAGACTCTGAAAAGGTCTCTGGGCTCACCTCGATAGTTTGCCTCTTCATCTCTGTATCAAATTTGAGTTTAAAAACCCTAGATTTGGGGGTTTTCTTTGGCTAAATTTGGATTTATGTTTGGACAAGGGTTCTACTTTGAAACCTTGAACTCTCAGACTCACTTCGAGTTTATGAATTGAATTTGAACCTTTTTCTGCGTTTGTGATTTTGAAACCCTCTTGCTTGACATGTCTATGCGTTTTATACGAGAGCTTCTCTTTCGAAGGTCTTGCCAACTGTTAATTGATTCTGAATTCCTTTGTTGTTGCTTATTTTATTGTTACTGATTTTCTCTAAATTAAAACTTTCCTTTTACCACTTTTATGACTCGAGCAAGGCTTTCAATGGGATTCTTTATTGGTTATTTTACTGGTTCCCTTTCCTTGTTTTACAAATCAAGTACCACCATGTATTTACCCTTATTTGTCTACCTTGCACGAGGTATTTACTTGATTTCCTTCCTTAAATAACTTCTGCCCATTACCATTATGAATTTGGACTCCTTAATTAAAGGAAGTCTATAGGCTAATTGATTTTAATTGGTACATAGTTCATTAATTATTACTAAACTATGATTCTTACCTTATTTGCTACACCTGTTTGCAATTATAAATACCCTGCTCTTTCATTAACACACACACGATTTTAATCATCACAACTCTCTTCTAAAACTTACACTCTTGCTTCTTGATTGCAATTTGGCTTCCCTAAATCTATTGTTTCTTCCTACTTGCTCTTCTGAACTGGTATGTCCTACTTTTGATTCAAGCATCAAAATCCAATGTGTTTACTTACAAGCTTTTATGCCCATGCCTAATTTACTACTTTATAGAGTTCAGTTTTAAAATAATTACTTGTGTTTGGCTATCTGTTAATGCTATGAATCCCTATCCCCATTCCCCTTTATGTGCTTGGGCTGTAGTTTAAGACATGTCAACATACAAAGTTGTTGTCATGGATTAAGACTGGGTCCTTTGGATCCCAGCCTCTTTCAATCTCCCATACCCCCTTTCCCTTATGTGTATAGAGTTAAGGTATAGCCNGTCCTACTTTTGATTCAAGCATCAAAATCCAATGTGTTTACTTACAAGCTTTTATGCCCATGCCTACTTTAATGCTTTGTAGAGTTCAACTTTAAAGTACTACTTATGTCTTGCTATATGTTGCTGCAATGAATCCCTATCCCCATCCCCCTTTTATGTGCTTGGGTTGTAGTTTAAGACATGGCAATATACAAAGTTATTGTCATGGATTAAAACTGGATCCTTTAGATCCTAGCCTCTTTCAATTTCCCATACCCCATTCCCTTATGCGTATTGAGTTAAGGTATAACCCGGCAGCATCCAAGTTGCTGTCCAGGGCTGAACGTGACCTGCAAAAGGTCCTAACTCTTTAATATTTTAAGCTGCCCTGGCTCCCACTAATTCCCTTTCATTGCACTTACACTTACTCCTAAGCCCTTAAGTCCTGCCCCCCTCTTGTGAGCCTTGCCTTGGTACCTTGAGTTCCCTTAACTTGGACACTTGAGGGCTGGCCCTTCCACACTGCAATATAGCATAATATTTGGGGTGTAAGCACTGCTTGGAACTCTTGAAGTTCCTTGGAACTTTGACACATCCCAAATAAGAGAAAGGCTTTGAAAAAATCCGATCCTGGAAGTTGGTTTATCTCATATTATTAGACTTTGAGTCTGGATTAGGCTGATTAGATGTAGATGTAATCACTGACGTATTATCATTTATTCTTTTGATTCACTTGGTCTGTCATAAGCTTTGTAATGAACTTTGTAATAACTACTGGGGTATAGTGAAAAGGGATGGGATAGAATGCATGCCAAAGGGGTAGATACCATAGGGTGTATATTTTCTCAATTCTGCATTTTCACGTAAATACCATGCCTATAGGGTGTATATTCTCTCAATTCTGCATTTTCACATAGAAAACATGTCTATAGGATTAATACTTTCAAATGCTGCATTCTTCACATAAATACCATGCTCATAGGTTTTCTTCACTTCGCAATATATACCATGTCAATAAACCACTGCTAAAATTCTGCACATCACGTAGATAATATGCCTATAGGATTTTTCCAGCATTTTTTGCATGTGCATCTGTCATTAGGCAATTCCACTTATAGGGCCTAAAATAGACCAATCATATCAATGACCTGCATAGAAGATCTCTGCATAACAAGATTCGTAACACCTAGAAAGCATGCCTATAGGAGTAATCGATTAAAATCTGAAATTGCCCACTCATCTTTAAAATCAGTAGTAATTTGTTTAAAGTGCTCGCAGAACTTACGATGTTGTAACTTAAATTTTTTTTGCAATAAGTTCGTTCTTCCCCCGTCTTTGAACTAATAGATATCATGCATATAGACCCTGCGTGACGCAGATAGATAGTTAGATAATTAATCAATCGTCAGTTTTTCTGCAACTACATCTAAGCAGGACTAATTCGGACTCCCTATCTAGAAATATGTGGTAGATCAATTCTTCCTACGCTAATTTTAATCAAGGACCTAAACTGTATGTGTAAGACGTGCTAAACAATTCGTTTCTCTAAATGTGGAGGCCTACTTGAGCCTTTAATTGCTTTACCTCCCCATTAAGTGTATTATGTGTTTTTGATTGTCGCCTTAGAATTTTATCCTTTTAAACCTCTAAAAATCCAAGCTTCCTCTCTTTAGGATTAGTAGTCCCAAAAGCCTCCACGACTGATAGGTGGGACGGGTAATAGCACGTTGTAGGTAGCGATACCATTCCGCGATTAATGCCTTAACGAGGTGGGAAGGGTAGACATGGAGATGATGATCACACGATAACACTATGCGTACGATTGGCGGTGTTGCATGGATGATCCATGTGATTTATAAACCTAGGACCCCTTTCCTCATGTTACTTTGTTTAGTATCAATAAACTCTGTCTTTTCAATTACCCAAAACTCCCCTTTAATTTTTTCACTGCATTATTCCTTTTCCTTCTAACCTTTTTTCTTCTGTGTTTATTCGATGTCTTGACTAATTCTTGCACTTAGACTCTCCCTCAAACAAATTATAGATTCCAACATGCTTGTTTGTAAACCTTATGTGTAAATTTATTTGTATTCTTGTTCACACTAAAGTCACAACATAGCATGGCCGGGAACCACACTAGTGGATCTTGAGGGGTGCCTAACACCTTCCCCTCGAGATAATTTCTAGCCCTTACCCGAACTCTGGTTTTCCAATTCAAAACCCAATTCCCAAACGGGAATAGAGTTGTCTTCCCAAATGTCGTAAACCCGATTTCGCTTTAGAAAAAGGGGGCATCGACAGCCAAATCTACTGAGATGCTATAATCCAATTGTTTTATGCCTTCTTTCACTAATTGCAATTGAAATATCATTTGGGAAGAGGTCTCTCAGAACAAAGGCATAGATGATAGTTGTCACAAGCAGTGCTGTTACTGTTAGTGTAGCAAGAGAGCAAAGTATGATTGCTAGACACTTTGTCACTGTGTTGGCAGCGGCAGTAGAGTACCTCACAGTGGCAATAGCAACTCCGGTCATGGGGAAAGTATACGCCCACCACGCCAATGAAAATCTGAAGTTAACAAATGAGGCAAGCATTTCACATTAAGCCAAAGGTGAAGAGGAATAAGAGAGCTTTTCAGGACAAAGGCAAATTTCTCATACCTGAAGCCTCGAAAGAAATTAATACGAACAGCCTGTAAAGGGACAAGAATAAAGGATTAGCCTAACACTTGAACAACATTCTCACGAATAGTATAGCTTGTACCTACACATAAAAACCTTGACAAAGAAACTGTCAATAAACCTTTCAGAAGTAATTAGAGATGTTATTCTACTCGTGGCTGACTAGAATGGTTAATGATGTATTTGAAAGCTAAATCGGCCTAGCATATTGACTTACCAGTGAGAAATAAAGGATGAGAGCAATAAAATAAGAAGTCTTTGGTAAAGAGTTACAAATAGGACCAAATAATGAGCCAATCCAACAGCATAGAAGAATATTGGGCCTTCTTCTAGTCCCATGGATGCACCAAGCAAAGCACCGACGAAATTTCCAACAACAGAGAGATGATTTACGGGACTGGGAACCTTTGAGAGCCTTCGCTGTCCTCCAGACATCCATTGTCCATAAATCTTTAGCTCTAATCAAAAGATTGGGGTCATAAGAATGTACCACAGAGATGTGTGCAAGTTTTTAGTAACTGATGGTGGAACTCCTAGTGCTAAGAATAGAAGTGCTATCCACGGAGCAAAGAAGAATTTAACACGTATCGGGTATTCCCGACGAACTGCTTCGAAGTAGAAAATGATTTTCAGACCATAAATGAAAGCAACAATGGCGTTAAGGGCCACAGATATGCACCGAAGGACAAGATTCATGTTAAAGCTTACGTGGAGGAATTTTGATGAGGGAGAAGTGGCCAGAGCTTTCCTCATAATAGCTTGGCTACTAACACCAAGACAGATACCAAAGGAAGAAATAGGGAATCGGAGAAGAAATGGCCATTTCTTGTCCCCTGGAAGAATACGTTGCTCAGAAGCTTATACAGGAAAGAAACATGTATTACCAACATTACCATCTTGATTAAGAATATTTGTGTTTTCATACTAAAACGGAAAGAAAGAAAAGACATCTCATGTGTAGAAGTGCAGAAATGTGTATCTCAAAAGCATCAGTGCAACAAAATTTAGTATCTTTTAAGCAATATGAACTCAAGTTCCATTTTAGGCATGTAACTTCTTAGCTTTAAAACCAAAAAAGACATAGAGATACATGGATTTGCTCTTACTTTGGATGAAGAAACATACCATGAAAAAATAAACTACTTATAGCCGAGGATATGTTGATCCTTTAATACCAATGCAGGTTGCATTCATTCAACCAAGTGATGAACGTTATGTACTAACGGGTGCACAAAATCAATACGGCATGCAATATACCCTCAAAATACTTTTCATTTTTTTTCATTTTCTTTAGCAGTGGTTACATAAAAGATCAAAACTGCAAATGCATTGATACATTCATGATTTCACATGCTAGTAATCTTTAAAGATATCTACATCTGAAGCAAATTTCTGCAGACCACTAAAATGAGTGGGTGAAACCAAGGAGAAAAGCTTACCCGTAGAGTGTCCAATTCTGGTCCCTCCAACGCGTCAAAGTATTGATGTACAGGGATATTTTCTCTCTCTGCAGTATTCGACTCTTGCTGTGCTTCCAGGTTCTTTCCACTCAAATTTGTTAATTGTCTCTCCAGTTTACCAGACCATATTTTGAACGAGTTGAACCTTGGATCCCTTTGCTTAATACTCTTGGGATTCATTGATGGAAAGTCTGAATAGCTGGGAAGTTTCCCAATAGCAGGAGCCTCAGGAAATGCAGTATTTCTTGGCATTGGCTGAGAATAAAACTTGACCTTTTTATTATGTCTGGTCCCAGTAATAGTTGATGTAGCAGCAAAATCGGAAGTGTCAATATTGCATAACTGCTAAAATCAAATAATAACAACTTCACAAGAATCAAAGGAAAAGAGATTTGGCAAACACTAATAGAATTGAGAAGCTCAATGTTCTGTGACGACATAATACATAATCTACTGCAAGAATTGCTGAATATATCACAATTCAAAACACAGGATTAGCTAATCACCAATAAAATAAATAAAAGAAAGATAGCTAGCATACAAAGACAAATATAAAACGAATAAATAGACTACCTGATCTACCGCATTTGTTCAAAGACATCTATTGAGTATATGTTGGAATCATCTACAAAGTAAGCAATCCCATCAAGACAGAAATTAAACTTAGACATACGATATCTTATTTGATTTCCTAAGAAAAATAAGATGGAGGAGTATCCTACTAGTCATTAGGTGCCAAAGATGAATTGCCCTTCTCACCCCTAATAGTCACATAGCAAGCAATCTTCTAATCTCAATACACTTTTTTAAGATCTCTTCTACCAAGCTTATTCCGCTTCTACAAATTCTCCCAAACATATATAGCGAACACAGAAACAGAATAGAACAAAACAAGCAATAATAATCTAGAGGCGGGGAGATAATTCAGCACCCCATATTAACTATCAGAAAAAAAATAAGTTCCCTATATTAAAAACTGAAACAAAAATGTTAAGGAATATAGACAGACTAACATATTGATTTTGTGCACTGAAAGATGGTAGGAATAATTGGTTGCACGGTAGCTTGATAAACCTTCAAAATATTGCTCAAGGCACGACCATGATAATAAACTCGAAACCAACACATATGCTTTACATATGAAAGAACAGAAGTATGAGATAGTAGAGGAAAGCGATGTTAAGCAAATAATCATGCTAATATATTTTTTTTTACAATCCGCGCATCGCGCAGGTACCCTTGAACTGTTGTATACCCTTGACATAAAAGAATATTGTAGTGCAGTCTTCAAAGACTGCTTTAGATCACAAGTTCAAATCCTACTGTGACACTCTAGTATTTTCTTGAATTTCTAGAAAATTATACTAAAGAACACTAGAATGAACATTTCCATGTTTTCCCTACATCCTGACTGAAAAGAAACTGAAAATTTTAGAAATCTTGAAATCCAGCAACACATATGAAGAACACAGGGATCTGATTCTCAAACCAATAAATCTTAAGACCAAAATATCAAGAAAAGGCACGAAATTTAAGAGAAAATAAAGAAGAACAGCAAACCCAGATCCGAAAAAGAAAAGAAAAAGGAAATTGAACCTCCTGTTTGGACAAGGGTTTGCACTGCATAAGCTGAGCAATTTGTTCGTCAAGATTTCCATGAGATGCGCTCGATGGCACCGGATCCATTGCTGATTAATCAAGCACACAAACTCACAAATAAAGTATATCGCTTCATTTGGAGTACATCTCGTGAAACCCAAATCAAATAACTTACATGAAAAAGCCCAACTCATTTTTCACAAACACATTTAGGGTAAAAAATTAGGTATTATCCAAATAATTTTTTTCACCCATTTACAAATAAAGTTTCAGAGGAAAGAAATTGTGAAAAAAAAAATTGGTAGCTTACCCAAGCACATAGAATTTTGTGATATCTCACATAAGTAAGATTATAAAGGAGCAAGATGGTGACTCTTTATCGCTACTGTTAAATTACTTATCCTAGGTTGTGTGTGAGGTGTGATGTGTACCGGAAAAGAAATACGATAGCTTTTGCCGGAGTCATGACGGAGCCTTGCCGGATTGACTGGCGCAAGAGGTTAGGGTTGAAGCTAAGAGAAGGGGCGGATATGTTCTGATGTTTAAGAGGCAAGTTGGAGAATAAAAAAAGGTCTAGGGCTGAATAAAAGAAAAGGTAAATCCACTATAGTAAAATTAGAAGAGGGAAAATTTGGTGGGAAAGTGCAACCGTTGCAATAGCCTAATTTTTCACATAACCGTTGCTATTGATGAATCGTTTAGAACGGTTAATGTAAACGTTGTCGTAGATTTATCTTTGGCAACGATTATTATCCTAATGCAGCGGTTTACTCCTAGAAGTGTTTCACTAGGGTGGAATATCTTATGCAACGGTAACAACCGTTGCAGTAGATTTTCTATTGCAACGGTGATGTCACCGTTGCTAAAACATCCGTTCCAATAGGCTTATTTTCAGGTAGTGGTTTCTTGGGAAGGCTTAACTACATCAGTCGATTCATAGCACAGTCTACAGTTATCTGTGAGCCAATCTTTAAAATGTTAAATAAGGACACCGCTACCAAGTGGACCGATGACTGCCAGAAGGCCTTCGACAAAATCAAAGAGTACATGTCAACACCACCAGTCTTAGTCCCGCCCGAGCCCGGTAGACCCTTATTACTCTACCTTGCAGTGTTGGATGGAGCTTTCGGCTATGTTCTGGGGCAACATGATGAAATGGGGAGGAAGGAACAAGCCATTTATTATCTTGGTAAGAAGTTCAGCCCGTACGAGGCTCGGTATTCTTTATTGGAACGCACCTGTTGTGCTTTGACTCGGGTAGCTCAGAAGCTGAGGCATTACTTCTGTGCCTATACTACATATCTCATATCGAGAATGGATTCCTTGAAATACATCTTTCAGAAGCCCATGCCCACTGGCAAGCTAGCCAAGTGGCAAATCCTGTTGAGTGAGTTCGACATTGTTTACGTGACTCAGAAAGCGGTCAAGGGACTGGCACTGGCAAACCACTTTGCTAAAAACCCCGTGGATGGAGGATATGAACCCCAGAAAACGTATTTTCCTGATGAAGAGGTACCATTCATAGGAGAAGACATTGCCGAACCCTATGACGGTTGGAGAATGTTCTTCGATGGAGCAGCAAACTTCAAAGGAGTTGGCATAGGAGTAGTCCTAATATCAGAAACCGGTAAGCATTATCCAGTGTCTGCCAAACTCAGGTTAACCTGCACCAACAATATGGCCGAGTATGAAGCCTGCATCTTAGGGCTCAAAATGGCCATTAACATGAACGTGCAAGAGCTGCTAGTAATTGGAGATTCAGATTTACTTATACATCAAGTACGAGAAGAATGGGAGACCAAGAACTCCAAGATACTCCTGTATCTGCATCACGTACAGGAATTGACAAAGAGGTTCATAAAGACGGAATACCAGCATGTTCCCAGAATCCAGAATGAGTTCGCCGATGCATTGGCCACGCTATCATCTATGATACAGCATCCCGACAAGAATTTCATTGATCCCATTCCAGTGAAGGTCCATGATCAGCCAGCTTACTGTGCCCATGTTGAAGAGCAAGCAGACAGAAAGCCTTGGTTTATTGATATCCAGGAATATTTGGCAAAAGGAGAGTACCCAGAGCTTGCTAATCCTATTCAGAAACGCACACTTCGGAGATTGTCCAACAACTTCTTTCACAGCGGGGGAATCCTGTGTAGGAGGACTCCTCATTTGGGACTATTAAGATGTGTTGACGCAAAGGAAGCATCCATGCTACTAGAGGAAATTCATGCTGGGACTTGCGGTCTACATATGAACGGTTTTGTCTTAGCAAAGAACATACTACGGGCTGGTTACTTTTGGATGACTATCGAAACAAACTGCATCCAGTATGTCCGGAAATGCCATCGCTGTCAGATTCATGCAGATATGATA